CAAAAGGTTCAGGTCTCAAAATCTGGTCGACAGCCTCCTAGGATGGTCGGCAGCCTCCTAGGCTGGTCTCCTCACTTAATGCAAGCTAGTGGTATGGTGGGAGACCAGTAACTGTGGCCCAAAAACCAAGGAGACCAGCTTCTTGTCAAGAAAATCGGCCGACGAAGAGAAAGGTGGTCTCCAAGGAGAAAAGGTGGTCTCCCACCCTTGCACCACCTTCCAAACAATGAAAGTAGGGTCCATGCCAAAAATGAACCAAGACGGATGCAAAACGAGGGTTCGGGGGCCAAGACGCGCAGCCGAGTGCCCCAAAAATTGACTGTTAAGCATCAAAAGTGGCGTGTGACTACGAAGGTGGTCTCCCGGGCCCCAGTGTCCCTCGAGAGAGAGGAAACAAGGTGTGTACCAAAAATCGGAGCAAATGGAGAAAGTTAAGCGGTCCCGAACCGAGGCACACAGCCGACGGCTCCGAAAATTAGAAACTGGTCTCCAAACGGAAACAGTGGTCTACGACCACGAAAAGTAGCCTACGGCCACTAAGAGATGGTCTATGAGACCTCTCCCTCTCTTTGGGAAGAGAAAACAGAACTGGTTAGCAAACCGAGGCAAAGCACAAAAGAGTCCCGAAATCCGGAGGCAAGGCTCTCAGCTGAGACTCCGTAACCTCAGAATGAGCACAGCATGCGCAATCACCGAGTACTCAATCGATGACATTTGAGTTTTAAGGTCGGTCAAAAATGGGGTGTCTACAGCTTTACTCGTCTTGCGAGTGCTTGACGTGTAGACGTTGTCTCCAACCTCTAATTGAGTTTCGTCTTTCTTTTTAGCACTTTGGTGCTTTGCTTGCAAGTGTTTGCTTCTGTTTACTCACTTTAGTGCTGCGGGTTTTTTTTTTAAAATTTTTAAAGCTCGGTTGCGCTCCGCTTGCACTTTGGTGATAGCTCCAATTTCAAACGCTCTGCACACTTAACAACACGAAAGCATAAAATCCTAAACTAAAAATTAAAATAAGAATGTAACTTTAAATTAACTAATTTCGCTAGAAGTCCCTGGCAACGGTGCCAAAATTTGATGGGTCGTTGAACACACCAAAAATAAATCACTAAACTATACCAAATTCTTTTAGAATAATGGCAAGTCCAGGTATCGATCCACAGGGACAATTGTGAAATTAAACTAATTTAATTGATAAATTCCTAAATTAATTTTGATGAAAAGAATGATTGATCATAACCTAATTTAATAACGAATAAATTAAACTAAATAATTAAATTATCAATTATAACTGAAAAGTGGATTTACTAAATTAGGGGAAAACCTAGGGCAAAGAGTCCACCACTAGTCACGTAATTAGGGTTTCCAATTGAAATCAATTATGTTATGGTTCGAACAGAATAATGCTTTGCAACTACAAGTTCAAAGCATTTAACAAGAAAATCATCACGTTCAATGTACGAGCACGGACCATCTCAAGTAGTACGAATCGTTCACTCTAAACTAGGGTAGTGACACGACTTGTCCCTCGTAGTATGATTCGTCTCATATCTTGAATGTGAAAGAATAGAAAACTCTTGTATGGAAAATATTTAACAATCACAGAAAGCTGAATATTTGAAAAAATAATGGAAAGTGTATATATAAAACTTCTAAAACACCATAGAATTGTTCAAACCTTTACATAATTGAAAATCAAAAAGAAAAATTAATTACATGGCTAGGGTTTCATTAAAATCGTAGAAAATGAGACTAGTCACTCATGGAGGAGTGGAAGGAGGTAGATGGAGAAGAAGCCACCATGGGAGACATGCTTGAAGTTTCAAGTTTCTTTTCTTTTCAAACCCTAGCCTCCCTTTCTTGACAAAACAACTTTTGAACCCCAATCCAACCTTTTTCTTGCCTATTTATACCTCTGGTGTCTTTCCAAACAGGTTTAAAACATTTGGCACGTTTTCCCAGAAAAAGTCAACGCATGTACAGAAAAGTCAACGCACATGCAGACAAAGTCAACTCTCTCCAAATTCTGTCTTTTTGTCCATTTTATGCTCCAACTATGTACAACCTGATTGACATTCAACACACATAAAGTATATATTTTGACAAGCAAGTGAAGTTAAGAGATCCTAATTAACGGCCTCAATGATGTACAATTCGGCCTTAATCATCTATTTAGACAAGTAAGAAACTTTGTTTAATTTCTTAGAGCATACACCATCAGACTTTGCAAATAAATATTTTAGTGAGAAGTAGAGTGGTGTCATACTAAGGGTTTCAGATGGAAGAACATGGTCTACAAAGTTCTATAGCAAGAAACGCAGTCTAAAACACAAACTTGGTTGGATTTCATTAGCACTGGACAATAATATACTAGCAGGTAATGTTTGTGTCTTTGAGCTGATGATGAAGAGCAACATTGAACCACCTTTGCTCAATGCCATGATATTGAGAGCTACAGAAGATTGAAGTGTTTGAAAATCTATTAATTTGAAAGACCAACAGAAAGCAGCAGAAAGTTAGATAGGTGAATGAAATGTGTGTTATTTTGCAATTTGTAAGCAAGTGTGTTCACATTAAACAATTTTTTTGTGAGAAATTATGGTTATGCTAGTAGTATTGTTGTGCTTTAATGTTTTTTATACATGTTTTGTTGGTGTTTTGATGAATTTATTCTTACCCTCATAATTGCCTTGTTCACTAACTTTGTTTCTATTTAGTTTTGAGTTTTTAATTTTTAGTGATTTTTTTTAATATCTTAGTATTTTTTTTTAAAGATCTACATAATCTAAATACAATTTAAAAAGGCAAAATTTTTATAAGGCTAAGCCAAATTGACTTATAAATTTGATTAGTTCGATGAGACCATAGATTTGAACAACCAGACCCAGTTGCAGTTAGAATCAAAGAAGGTATGTATTGGTTTGTTAAAATTTTTCTGGTTGTTCAAATTTCTCTAGTAGGTCTCTGGTTTGTTCAAATTCCTCTGGTATTGGATTTTCTCTGGTAGGTCTCTGATTTTCTCTGGTTTGCTATTCAATTTTTTCTGATTTACTATTGTACAAATGTCTTACAGTCTAGAGAAAATTGGTCAAAATCGTGGTTGTTCAATTTTCTCTGATTTGTTGTTGTTCATTTTTCTCTGGTTTGCTGTTGTATGAATGTCTTACAGTCTAGAGAAAATTGGTCAAAATGGTGATTGTTCAATTTTCTTTGGTTTGTTGTTGTATGAATGTCTTACAGTCTAGAGAAAATTGGTCAAAATAATGTTTGTTCAATTTTCTTTAGTTTGTTGTTATTCAATTTTCTCTAGTTTGTTATCGTACAAATGTCTTACAGTTCAGAGAAAATTGGTCAAATGGTGGTTGTTCAATTTTCTCTGGTTTGCTATCGTATAAATGTCTTACAGTTCATAGAAAATTGGTCAAAATGGTGGTTGTTCAATTTTCTCTGGTTTATTGTTGAGTGAATGTCTTATAGTCCACAGAAAATTAAACAACAAAAAATCAAAGAAAATTAAACAACAAAAAACCAGAGAAAATTAGAAAAGAGCCACACAAATTTTCTCTGGATAGAGCCACACAATTTTTTTCTAACACAATTTTTTATGGATAGAGCCACACAAAACCACACAAATTTTTTCTACACAATTTTCTTTTGATAAAGCCACACAAATTTTCTCTAATACAATTTTCTCTAGATAGAGCCACACAAAGCTACACAAATTCTAATAGTATGTGAGTTTGGGAAGAATTTCTCTTCCATTCTCTCTGTATTATCTTCTATTTTAATTTTGAAAATTGAAATTTTTCTTCAATGTAGCTATTTATGGAGTCATTTTTCTGCATTTTATCTTTTGAAATGTAGACCGAATTGTAGATATCAACAATTTCTCTGATCTAAACAAGAGAAAATTCAAATTTCTCTGAGTTCAAACCAGAAAAATTCAACAATAGAGAAAATTACCTAAAGAAATTCTTTGGGAAGTCCAGAGAAAAATCTCTAGGAGGTCCAAAGAAATTCTCTGGGAAGTGTAAAGAGAATTTCTCAAGAGAGAAAATCATTGAGAAGTCCAGAGAAATTTTCTAGGTTGAATTTTCTCTGGATCGATATTGAAGGATCTTAGACATTATGAAAATATTGGGTGCCCTTTATGCAATAAAATCTTAATACCAGGGACCTTAAAAAAAATTTCAAAATTTTAACGAGAGATCTTAACTAATAAAAAAATTATATATTTGACCTCTTCTACTACTTGAAGTTGAAGATGGATGCTTTAATAATTTTTTCTAAATTTAATTATATGTGATAATTGAATTTAATTCAAAAAGGTTTTATTTTTATTTTTATTTTTATTAGGTTGAGCAATCAAATATTTAAACATAGTTGAAAGTTTAATGAGTTTTAAATATATTTTCAAAATTTGTTTTGTATCAAATATTCATTACTTGGGGCCAAAATGAAAATAAACCTTTTAAACGTATATTCAATAGAATGAATTAACTTTACACCAAATTTAAAATGAATTCAAGGATTTTTATAATATATATATATAAAAAAAAAAATAGAGATACCAAGCTCAAGTTTTACTCGCACAATCTTGTATTTTTATTATTTTTACATTATTTTTTCACTCTCTAATTTTTCAACATGCTCTCTAATTTTATTTTGGAGAAATTATATTAAAAAAATTAAGAGTAGAAACTTAATGGCTAAAATATCATATTTTTCATCAGTTTTACTTAACGAAAATATGTAAATGATTTAGATTGAAAATAAATTAAAATTTTTAAATTTGAATTGATAAAATAAAAAATTCAAGATTTATTTTGATACAATAATCAAACTATGATTTTTTTTTTATTAATTTATAATTTATCCTTTTATTTTATTTGGGCCAATCAAGTTAAATGACGAATCATCATCGGCCCAAAGTTTCATCCAAAACCCAAATACAAAACGGGCCCTCGATTAAGGCCCATTAGGGCTTTGCCAAGAAAGGACATATATAAAGGTCTCTTCAACACTCATCGTCTGAAGCCCTAAACACACACACAGAGGCAGAGGGAGCTCTGTCTTCTCTCTTTCTCTTTCATTTCCATCGCATACACGAGATCGGCGAACTGGTCGGTGTCCAAGCATGGTGCACGTTTCCTATTATCGCAACTGTAAGTCTTCTCTACAATCACTCTTTACATATATATATATATATATTTGATCTGATTCAGCTTTTGTAGTGATTTTTAATATGAAATCTGTTAATTATTCTTTGTTTGGTTTCTGAGAAAGTACAAGAGAAATAAAATTTGAAACTTTTGACACCGAAAAGTTCTTTCCGAACTGAGTTATACTACAACTATCTGGTTGAGTTAATTAGGGTTTCTCAGCTGCAAAGAACACACCTTTAAGTTTTCTTAGGACACGCTCCATTATTGTTTTTTACTCAAATTTTCACCCAAATCAAGGGAGACTCAAATGTTTACTAAAAATTTTCAAGACCATTTTCGTGATTCTCAAATTTACAGCGGATTGATGTTTGAAGTGTTGTTGGACAGAATTGTTGTCGTTTTTCCACACTTTATTTTCCAGAATATGATTATGAGCTGCCCATTAATGAGTTTGTTTATTAGATTGGTTCATATCAAATAAAGCTTTCAAATTTTTACTCAGATTTCAGTAAAATTTCGATTCAGAGCTGCAGATGGCCTTATGCTTGCTGATTTGGGTTTTCAGTAAATATATATACCAATGTTTTAAAAACCGTTCCGGTGGATGAACCGGAAAAATGATCGGGTGGACGGGTCACCGGTTCAACCATTGGGTTTGGGTTGAATCGGAATCGAACCGTGACGTCATAAATATATTAAAATTAAATTTAAATAAAAATATAAGTAATAAAATTATAAATTAAAAATTTTAATAATCTTAAATATTTCTCTTAATATTTTTTTTATTAAAATATATAAAAATATATTTAAAAATATTATTAATTTTCATTTTGGAAGAAGAAATCAAATATTTAATATTCCTTCCATATGATTTTAATTCAAACACTTTGATTGAAAGAAGAGCAAAATTTTTGGAGGGATATCAAATTTTAAGTTTCTCTCCAATGAACTTGATTGAATCCCACATAGATTTCTTGAGTTTTTTTGGTAGAATTTTTTTCTTATAAATAGATGGAAGTTTTCACAATAATTTCAAGCTCTCAATGGGATTCCTCACAAGAGGAGACCCTTAAAAGAGAGTTTCCAATTAAATTTTTATTATATATATATATATATATATAAAATAAGAAAGAAAGAAAGAAAATAAAAAAACAGGAAAAAAAAAGGGCCGGACCGGTTCGATCAACCCGTGACCGGGTCGACTGGTTCACCGGTTTAACCGGTGGGTTCACCGGTTTTCAAAAAATAGCCCGGTTTTTTCAATTGGCCGGTTTAAGAGGGTTCACCGGACCGGAACCCCATCCGGTCACCGGTTGAACCGGCCGGTCCGGTCCGGTTTTTAAAACCATGATATGTACATACATACTAGTGGGTGTGTACCCACCCGATATGTGTGCTGTTAAATATGTGCTGCTCAAGTGGTAAAATGTTGTTTCCTAGACTGAAGGTCTGTGGTTCGAGCCCTGTCCTCCTCTTTATATAATTTTACATCAACACCAACTATAGGTATATTTTTTAAAAACTCAAATTATGAGACATTTTGTGTCAACGCCATTTCAAGACTTTCACATATATAATAGTATAGATATAAAGATGGTTTTGTTCTTGCATGTTGAATTGTATAGTAATAGCCAACTATTGATGTTTTCCAGATGGAAAAACTTTTAAGAAACCTCGCCGCCCCTACGAGAAGGAGCGATTAGATGCTGAGTTGAAGCTGGTCGGAGAGTATGGACTCCGCTGCAAGAGGGAGCTTTGGAGGGTTCAGTATGCTTTGAGCCGCATCCGTAATGCAGCAAGAATGCTTCTAACCCTTGATGAGAAGAATCCCCGCAGGATTTTCGAGGGTGAAGCCCTTCTGAGGAGGATGAACAGGTATGGCCTGCTTGATGAGAGCCAAAACAAGCTTGATTATGTCTTGGCCCTTACTGTGGAGAACTTCCTCGAGCGTCGCCTCCAAACACTTGTGTTCAAGACAGGTATGGCAAAGTCCATCCACCATGCCAGAGTGCTCATCAGGCAAAGGCATATCAGGTATGGCTGAAAAGCTTTGGTAATTTAGATAAAGTTTGCATGTCTACAATGAAATGGGTGAAAGAGAGAAGTTGGAGCTTTTACGCATCTTTCTTGTTTGAAAACTTGGGCTTTATTTACTCACATGTGAATTTGTTTCTGTGAAATTGTGTTTTATTGAACTCAAATTTATTAATTTGACCTAGTAAAGGTGATCTAAATATGATTTTAAAGGAGCAGAGTGGCACCATTACGTCAATAAAACCTATTTTGTTTTTTGGTGGAGGTATGCTAGGCATAAATATATGCGTAAAAATTAGATTGCTTGATTTTTTATTTACAATTATAGCCGTTGCATTTTGCACATTGTGGGTATTATGATTTGATATTGGCTAAACTTTTGGTAATGCTTATCCTTCTTATGCATGATGAGAATCTTGAGTATATTATCTTCACCTTGGAACTCCTCTTTAAATAATTGGTAAAAGATAAATTAGTTGTGTTTTCAACTCAATGATCACCATTTGTGTACCAACTAAGGGAATATAAACACAAATTGATTCCTATTTGATGTATGATTAATTTAAAAGAGAAATACATGTAGAAGGTTATATGTTTTTGGGTAAAAAAAATATATGTTCTTCCTATACAGTGTGAAATTTAACTCAGTCCATGGATTTCATAGAGTCAGCAAATAGAAATTCTTTTTGACATACTTGGCCTTGATTTCTTGTCAAGCTTTATTTGTGCATAATGTGTATGCTTATTTATAAGGAGGAATTTTGAAATACATCTTCAAGATTTTGTAGTTTTTTTAGAATTGAATGAAATAAAGCATAATTCTTCTTTCATACTTGGATCTTGTTTTTTCCTCCTTCCTGATGGTCACAACAACTTGGATGGTTTTTGAGATTATTCTTCATGTTCACTTTCTTTAGCAATAATATTAATTTTTAAAAAAATTCTAAAACTGAGGCAGCAAAATTAACAAAGGTTTGAAAAAGGCAAAGTATCTGTTGTTGTATGTAAGATTTGTCTATTATGGCAAATACGGCCTTCCTTTTTTTTAAAAAGAAGTTTCTTTTATAGCAAAAACAGATACTCCCATGTAATTTGTAAACCATGTAAGTGTACATACAGAGACAGACCTGTAGGTTTTATCATTTTATGGGGCCATACTTGTAGTAGTAGAAGGGTTATACAATTATATTTATGATCATAGTGAGGAAAAACGACTTTAACTTCATGTAGTTATAGATTATATCTCTAGACTATGTTAATTGATTGGAATATATTACTCTAGTGAATTTTGTGATCTTTATTTGTTGGTACACATTATTAAGGATAAACATTGTGTTTTTTTAATGTGGACTTTTTGCTAGTTTGATATTAAGGCCTTGTTTGGCATATACTAAAAAAGTCACTAAGTCACTATCCTATTTAAGTCACATCATCTTATTTAAATCACATCACCTCTCTACAATATCACTTCAAACTCAACCCAAATTCAATTCATACCCAACCTATAGTTCATAAAAAGTCAAAAAGTGCACTTATTTAGAACATCTCAAACCACCCTTGAATTGTTTTAAGGGGGGTGGGGGGGAATATGACTTTTTTATATTTTCAAATTCTTCTATTTTTTGGGGGGGACTTATGTGCAAGTCCTAATAGGTAGACTTATTGTTCAATAGGTCCTGTGAGAATTAATGACATTTTTTATCAAATATATTAAAAAATATCATTAATTGTTAATTTTCAGTGACAGTTTCACAAAAAATGTCACTAATTATAAGTTTTAACGACAGTTTAAAAAATGGTCGCAAAAAGAAACTAATTTTCAACTTGCAACACCAGTTTGAAAATTGTCACAAAAAAGTCACTAATTGTATTAGTGACAATTTATAAAAATCGTGACAAAAAAAAGTTCTTAATTGTCAAATTTTAGCGACACATGTAAAAAATCATCACAAAAAATTATTTTTAGCAACGGTTTAGTAGAACTTATTTTTAATAGGACTTGATTGGAATTAGTCCAACTTTTAAGACCTATTGATAGTTTATCTTATTTTTTTCTATTTTGTTTTGTCTTTGTACTGTATTTTCTAAATCTAAAAGGGAAGGGTTAGTCGATGGAGGTGAGTTTAGAAAATATAGTAGATAGAGAAATACTATGTATTAAGTAGAAAAGAGAAGAAAATTGGAAGTTGACCGGAAGTGCAAGGGTTGTCTGTTATAATTGAAAAATGATGGACCAAAGTGGGATTTGATATAAAGGGCTGTGGTGCAAAATGCAATTTATTCTTATTTCTATTTACCTGCTTATGCTAAAAGTTTAAAAAAATAAAAATAAAAATAAAAAATTGTATTTGAGAACTTGAAAAATGACAATTTGTTTTGGAGAGTCTAAAAAAGTAGCAAGGAGAAGAAGAGAAACATGAATAGGTAAACCACCTATTCTCTTCCTTTGTGATTGCAGTTAATCTTTTTTCCTGGTAAATATTATTATAGGTATCATATTCTTTTCATCCTTAATGCTAGAATTTGGTATTTCTTATGTTTTCTTGTACAATGGTAGCCCCCTTCCTGAAACACCCCTTAAAACCTTTGTTTATTAGATTTTAATATTTTATGAACTTTTATTAAATCTTGTTCTTTTAACATTATTTTAAAAATAAAATTTTGTTACTTATCAATAAATAAATAAATAAAATTCTGTAACATTGTTTACCTAAAGTACCTTCCCACATCTTTCAAACCCTTTGACCTTTGTTTATTGTTATTATTATTTTGATAGTTTTATGAATCTTATTTTGCTTAGAAGCTTATGCACGTTTGGAATGATACTATTGCTTTGTATGACATTGTTTTTATATATTAAACAATTAGTTAACGTTTACCGCCAAGTTGTACACTTGGAACCACCCCTTATGTAAATGGACTATATAAATGTGCAATTGCTGAACTATTGGGATTTTATATACATTTATATAAGTTTTAGTTTGTTTGTAAAAGTTTTCATGTGTTTCCTATTTTCCTCTTCTTGTTTCCCTCGTGTTTCCAAAACATTTCTGAATCATTTGTTTCGAAGTTGTCTGAAATGACACATCGAAACAAAATTTAGATCCTTGCGTATGATGAGCTTAAGTTCTGTCCCACCATTATTTTGTGTTGTCATAAAATATCCTCTTCTTGTCCTTGTTTTCTTGTTTCCTTCCATGAGTAATCTCAACCCCAAACCTTAATTCTTAGGCTAGTAAATCGTTCATACTCAGCCCTATCATCTAGATAAGTGACATGTTGAGACAACAAGCTTTGTTTGAACCATGATGTATGATCTTTTTTTGGTCCTATTTTCTTATATGAAAATGGGGCATGCAGTATTGAAAGGATTTATTGGCTGTTTAGTGCTCCTTATGTTAATAATTTGAAAGTTCCATCTGTAACATGTATCAAGTTAATGTCAGAAATCATTGTGTTTTCCTGTTTGCAAAGTTCTTTTTGCTTTTAGGATTTTAAAACCAGCTAATTTTCAATAAACGTGCATTCAATAAATTGTGGTGTTTTCTGGTAACAAATTTTATGCAAGTAATTTACTGAATTATTTTGGCATTGCAGGGTTGGGAGGCAGGTGGTCAATGTTGCTTCTTTCATGGTGAGGCTGGACTCACAGAAGCACATTGATTTCTCACTGACAAGTCCTCTCGGAGGTGGACGTCCTGGTAGAGTGAAGCGCAGGAACATGAAGGCAGCTGCAAAGAAGGCTTCTGGTGGAGATGGAGATGAAGAAGATGAAGAGTGAGGCCTTGCATTAATGTAAGTTTATAATGGAAAAACTAGCAAGTCCGGCCTAGAGTTTCTTCACCTCTGCCGGTTAGTACTGTTCTTTTACCTTAAGTTTAGTTTTGTATTTTTTTTTTTTCTGAGAACCTTCAGTATAGGGAGTTTTGCATGCTTTTATGTTTTATGCTTTCTTGATTGTTATTGAGAATATATTTGTTGGTTTGATCAAGACTGGTTATTTGTTTTTGGCTTCTATGGATGAGTTGGTCAGTGCTGCTTGTTAAATGAATGGGTAGACTGGGTAAATTACATCTACCCTACGGGAGGTTTGACTTGTTTAACTTTAATACACATACCTCTTTGACACTTTGGAAATTACATTTCTCTTCCTAAAATATTATAATTTGCTTGCTTCGTTAACTAAATGGCCCTTTCTCTTCCTAAAATATGTTTGTTATGGCCGGTTGTTTTTTTTTTTTTTTCACTTTATTTTGTTAACTTTTTAGTAGTAGTGGTGGAGTTGAGGGTTTTTTTTGTCTGTCATTGTTTGATGAAATTTTTTAGGCTATGTTTGATTCCACAAGACTAATAGTGAGGTATTAATAATTCTGTCAAATTAGTGTGATATTCACAATCCCACCCTTACCCCATTATTAATAATCCTACAAATTTGTTGGATTAATTATCCATTGGATTAATAATCCTAAAACAAAATGTCAAAACAAACATAGGATAATTGGGCCTACGGATTAATAATTCCAATCTCATGCTTTAATCCTTCCAATCAAACATGCCCTTAAAGAATTAACCAAATTAACCAAATTTGTCGGTGGTGACAGGAGATGTGGACTATGAAGTGAGGATAGGATGGAGAAGAAGCCCTATGTGTCCCGAGATGAAGGAAGAACATTAAAGTCATTTTAATTTTTCTACTAATGGGGTTAACTAACGAACTCTAATGGGGTCATTGTAATTTTTAGAATGGTAGGAAGGTATATTTGTATTAAAATCAAACATCAGGGGTGTAAGTGTAATTTATTCATATTTTTCTAGTATATATATAGAACATCAGTCTTTTTTATAATGTCAAGGTGCTAATGTATAAACATGGTGTATTGGGTTGGGAGAGACAATAACATTTCTCTTTGGCATGACTGGTGTGGTCAAGAGCTCCTTGATATTTCCAATCTTGGTTCTCATACAGTTTAAGTGATCATAAGGTCGATCTTTTTAATGGATCATGAAGGACCTCTCAGTCTTCAAAGTAGTAAAACCCCCTCAATCAACACCTGGGTAGAGTAATGCAAACTCCGCTTCTATTCCTGTGTGCGAGCGCGCGCGCCATTGATAAGCTAAGGCTGCGTTGGGATCATGCCCAGGCCGACCTTGGAACGATTCATTAAAAAATTAGAAGGCTCATCCAAAATTAAAAAGGTTCATTTTCTCTTCTAATCTAATTCTTAATCTTAACTCTTAATTTATGGGTTGTTTGGAGTGTCCTAAATAAGTGTATTTTTTGTCTTTTTGGACTAAAAAATTGAGGTTGAAAATATGGATGTTTAGATTAACTTTTTGACTTTTTATGAAAAAATGTGCAATAAAAAATTGTAAAAATTGATTTGTAGGGGAAAATTATAAAATTTTGAATTGAGAGTTGTGCAGCCATAATAGTTGACTTTTGGTGAATAGTGTTAACTTTTTAACTTTTTGAATAACTTTTTAGCTTTTTTACAAGTTCCCGAACTTGGCCTTAAGTTTTACAAGTTTTTCAAAAATTTAAGTTTATCAGGAATTAAGAGCAGCACAACAAAGGTAAGCTTTTTTTCTCTATTCAATTAATTAAATATTTATCTTGTCTTTTGTTTAATTGCTATTGGTATTTATATAAATATTCATCATCAAGAAGAATTAATCTTTTGCTACTTGTGTTAAATTTTTTGTTGAATGAAAAAAAAAATTATATATGTAAAAAACTCTAAATAATTTAGTGATATTTATTAGTTGATTATCGGCTTTGGGTTCCGAAAATCTCAGGCCGAGTCTGGTGGTGTTACATGTATCAATTAGTGTACTAACTAGTGTATTAATACTAGTTATGACATTATTATTGACCTCACTTATTAATCACATTACAAGTATAAAAAAATCTTTTAAATTATGTTATATCATCAATTGATACACTAATTCATATACTAATTAGTACATATAATATTGGGATGTTTTGGAAAGATGGTTAAAAGTTATTTTTTGACTCTTTTGTTAGAGAGAAAAGTGGGTCAAAAGTTAAGAAGTGTTTTTTAACTCACATTTCAAAATAGTCCGTTATTCGGCTGGGCCGGCTAACCATAGGACACGCAAATCTCAAAAGCGCATTAGATATTTACTTTTAGAGTAATGTTAGGGATCATGAAAAAAATATTATGAAGATGATCATTAAAGATTCTTCACTTTTAGGTTTTTATATAATAAAATATTACACATTAATCAAGGGATGAAAAATTTTCATGATGAATTTTATGATATATTTTTCATGATCCTTAACATTATTGTTACTTTTAACAGTAGGTCATTGAGCAAATTCCAATGTTTGTTCCAAAACGTCAATCTCTACTTTAAAAAGAATAAAGATTGAGACCTCCTTTCTCTCATCCCCTTTTGACCTCCTTTCTTTTTTAATTGGTCATTTTTTTTTTTTTTTCTCCTCCTCCTCCAATCACCACCCGTCACGTGTGTGTGGGGAGTGGTGGGGATTGAAGTGTAAGGGGATCTAAATCACTGTTGATTGAAAAAATAAATGCTTGAGCTCCTGAATTTGGAAGGAAAAGGGTAGGAAACTCAAACACAAGTAGAAACTTTCTTTAAGGTAAGAAAAGCAAGGTGTGACTTGCGAATTGAGAGACCGAGTTTGTCCAGGGAGAGGCTGAAATCCTGAAAATGATACACTTTGGTTTTGAGAGTCCAAAAACTGTTTTTGAATTTCTTTTTTATTTATTTATTTTGGTGAATTTTTTTTTTTAAATTTTTAAATCCACTTCAACGAACTAAAATATTTATAAATAATTTTTTTTTTTTTTATAAAATTCACTACATGCGGGGGAAAAATAAAAAGGTTGTGTTGAAGATATGTATATAAATAGTTACTCAGGTTATTCTTAAAAAAAAGTAAAATAAAATAGTTAGGGGACCTGTAAGAATTTACGTAAATATAGAAAAAGAAAATACCTGCCAACGCATTGCAAAACATGTGGGTCAAAATATTTTGTGCAGATTCTGTTTACAATTTAAGTTGTAAACAATCCGTGTCAAATTGAGTAGTAAATTGTTTAAATAATTTAAAAAATTTATGAATTTCAAAATGTGTTTATTTTGATTTATTTTACATTACAGTTAATCTCAAATGGATTTTAAATTAGTTGAATATGAATTAAATTCAAACTCAAAACTTAAATAGTTTTGTTTTATAGTGCATACATTATTTCTCAAGCATTTTAACTTATTGGGTTGAGCTTGTCTTATGAGGTCAAGACTGGACCTGTCCAATTAGGCTCATGGGCTCATTTTTAGTCTCGTTTCGATAATCTAAATCGTTCAATGTGTAGAATTTGTCGAATACTATATTCTTATAAAAAATTACATTGATCGGATATCGATAGCTATTTGATCGGATCAAAATTCAATCATTCATTTTTTTAATACAAATCTGATTCATTTTTTTAATACAAATCTAATCTGATTTGATCAAATAGCTATCGATATCCGATGAACGCAAGTTTTTACAAGGATATAATACTTGATGAATTTTACACATTGCACGGTTCGGATTATCGAAACATGGCCTAAAAATGGGCCCATAGGTTAAACTGGACGGGTCCAGTATTTACCTAACAAGTGGATCTCGAATAAATTTTTAACAACATAAATACAAGTTGAACTTAAATAACTTGGTTAATTGCGTAGCCTGTTTATCAAACAAAATAATGTTAAAAATTATTATTTACTATTTAATTATCCACTTTCATTTCATACAAAACTACACAAAAGTGGGCCAACATCTGATTTAGACTCTGCACCAAACATGTTCTTATTCAAGATTGGTCTTTATTCCCCACTTCAGCAGTTGGACCATAGAAGGCAAAGCACTACTACAAGATGCAAATCTTGAATATATGTGAAGTATTGACTTTTGTCGAGTTTAAATTTAAATTTAAAAATTTGAGAGTTTCGTAAAGTATATCAATAATGGTATTTATTTTGACAATTTAAATCATTCATTTTATAACGCTTTCAGTACATATTATTCATAGAAATAATTAGTTTAATCTAATAATCATAATCTTTTCATAGTATATTTTATCAAATTTATCTCTAAAAAATAGACAATAAATACATTTTTTTAAAATGGACCAATTATTTTTTTTAAACAATCATAAAAAAATGAAAAAAATTACGGTTATTGGATCAATTTAATTTTTTTCATAAATGATATACACAAAGTACCCTACAAAATGAATTATTTAAATTGGAAAAAAAAAAGGGTGAAAAAACCATGTTCATCAAAACCCAAAGAGAGGTTATTATCTAAATCAATGATAATGATGTTAGCAAGAAGTTCAAAACCAAGCACTCGATTTTATTTTGGAAACATAAAAAACAAATAATGGGTACTCCATTAACCAAATAACAACACGAGAATCGGACTTAAAAAAAACGAAAAATCAATTTTAAATCATAACACCCATATGTAGATGTTGCTGTTTCTTTATCTAACCATTATTTTTGTAGGAAAAAACCCATTAAAACAACAATCATGGAAAAGCACTTTTTGCTTCCCACTTCTCTGTTAGAAATGCTGCAAGAAAACACAATAGAGAAATATTATTTACATAAAAAAATTTATGCACAGAAATTCTCCTATAAAGGTAAATTTCACATGAATTTTTTTGTGCATATAGCATTGCTGAACACAATAGAAACAGTATGTCATAATCCAAGGATTTTTAGAATTACATGCTAAATACCAAAATGAGATCTATGTTATTTAACTTTTAGTATGTTTTAAATAGTGATAATAAAATATATATTTGTGACAGTTGCGGTGTAATAAGTATTGGGAGTATCGAGCTATGCGTATTGAGAATTAGGGCCATGTTTGTTTGGGCGGACTAGATTAGCATTGTCATGACTAATAGTCCTAGGACTACGAATCCGTTGGATTATGTATCCTATCTTAACTAATAATCAAGTTTAAAATAATT